TAATAGATATGTGACCATCATAATAACTTTCAGTTTTTCTTGTATTGATTGCAGCGGAAGTTCAGGTGGGCTCAAGAGGAAGAGAATGAAGTGAGAAGAATTTTTCAGAAGAAAGTCAGTGATTTTATACGAAATGTGATGAATAGAGCGAAGATCAAGAAAGTGAAGCCGGCTTTCATTACAGCTGACAATTGGACGGAAATTAACAGAATTTGGAAAACTGAAAGGAGTCGAAAATCGGTGAGTCGAATAAAAAGAATCGCTCTTCTAGTTCTAGTGAAGGGTCTCGCCATATATCTTTGGGGCCGTATCAACATTGGGGAGCATCACAAACGACTGGTAAGTCTGTTAAATAAGTTATAAGTTAATTTAATTCAATTACTCATGTTTACATTTTGTAGGCACAAGAATTGGGGACGGAACCGACATTTGCAGCTACATTTGAACGTACATTTCAAAAGAAAGATAAGACATGGATTGGCGATCAAGCAAAATCTGTTAAGGTATGTAAGGTTATACTTTGGGCTTTATGGAAACTAGAATGAAAATCGTGAATGCTTTTAATATTTATGGTATATATATATTTGAAGTTATTTTATTTTCATCTATATTGTTAATGTAGGAAAAATATGATGAACTTTTAATGGGCAATGCTAGTGGTAGTGATGGTTGTGCTGCGTCTGAGCCATCAGTTGACAGTATGGCATTATGGATGGAGGCAACGGGTGAGATGAAAAAAGGAAAAATATTTGGGATGAGATCTTTGTCAAGGATGTACATGCCGAATCATGCTGGAACTTCATCATCCAATGTGACTGGTCGAAGGAGGACACGACATGACGAGCAATTGACCCAAGAAGTGAATTAACTGAAAAATATAATTGTAGAGAGGGACGAAGAAATAAATGACTTGAAACAACAAATGCAAATCGTTATGCGACACCTCAACATCAATCGCGGTGAGGTTCCTCCTGTACCTCCCGCCAATCCAACAGGTGATGGGCATAATGATGCTGAGATTGATAATGATGATGATGATTTTCTCGGTCCTTTCTAGTTAAAATTGCCAAAATCGGGGGTAAACTTGCTTCACAATCTTTTATGACATAAGTGCAGTTTCACCTAATATGTTCATGCCCTACAATTACTTTTTGTGCACAACTTTCTTACAACAAGGTTCTTTGCTTGCGAAAAACTGAAAATTTAGAGATCCCAGGATCGCATGTTTGTTAAAAAAAATCATGATATTTGAACATTGTAGAAATACATGCCTTAATTGACTTTGAGTCCTCTCTTCCTAGGAATTGGTGTTGGTAATTCACCTCTCTAAGTCATTAAACTGTTGCAATGCTATTTTGACAAGGATCTAATTTTTCCTAGGTGACAGGAATACGGTTTACAAGAGTGAAAAAAGTAAAGTGGATGTCAAAGTTGACTCATATTCATATGTAAGAACATTGATGTTCGTCCTGAAACGTTTTTTTGTTAACCCTCTTACTTGTTTTTTTATACCTAGTTCCACATTCATGCATAAACACTTCTTTTATATTCTGGACTGATTGAATATCTTTATTTATGTATCCACATTTCATCAGGTGTCGACAAAAGTAACTACTTTTGGTGTCCTGCCGAGTACCACAGCTGCTCAATCTTATGTCTGGTTTGTCGATTTTTCGTTTTTTAAGCAGAATCTATGGTTGTCCCGCCTCCTATGAATGTTTTGAATGTATTATAAGATTGGATATCAAATATCATCATTTCAAACTTTGCAACTTTGCATATATCATTATTTTTTTGCGGACTAGAGTATTAATTAGATGTGTCTCCTGAATATCACTTTGATGAAAAGAACCAATAATACAACAGTTCAAGAGACAAGAGTATTATGATTGGCAAAAATATACATGTAAAAAAAAAAGACATGCAGTGAAATATGGATAATAGAAGATTGAGGCCATGTGCCTTCGATTATACAATGCCTTAGAAGTTGGAAGCAAGAGATAGAGGGAGGGAGAGGGAGAGGGAGAGGGACCATTTCATTTGTTCGACACAACAAACAACTTGTGACTGATGGAGTCTCTCCACCAGCACAACATGTGGAAGCACCAAGGACAGCGTGTGATAAATGAGACAACTAAAGTGGATTATAGCCGAGTTTCCTCTTAGGAGAGATTAGGAAAATAAACTAAATTAGAGATTAGCATTTGGCAATAAAAGAGCAAATGTGTACTTCAAGAACCTTACTTTCTAAGAGTATTCAACTTTATGACATGCTCTATATTAAATCGAAAAGCTCAATCGTGATGAGACGATCGAATGTGTTATTTAATCACGTGAAAGGCAGAATTACAACAAAGTTAGACCTAATCATTTCATTTCGTGTCATTGTCTTCTTATAAAGTCATTTGTCATCTCTCTAGCCTTTTCTCTTTCCTCCTTTTTTGCTCTTTAATTTAATGAGCAAGATTCTCTTAATTTCTTGCCTTCCCTTTTCCTCGAGCAACCTACCCTTTACTTCCTCAAGAGCTTCCCTTACAATTCAAGTGTATGGATTGGTAGGATGCTTTCTTTTTTATGCCTAGTTTGTCCTTTAGCATTGTGCTTAATGGGCAAAACTTTCTTGGGGGGCCTTTTTGGCCGGCCATTGTCACTGCTAAAAACTTCACAAGAAAACAATGAAAAGGGATCAATTTCCCCTCACTTTTCTCAACAAATTGTCTTAAGATCTTTTCCCATTTAGTTACTCACTGTTCGAAAACGGTGAACTCTATCTCAAGGCATCTCCAGGTAAGGTGCTTCACATGTTTGGAGTGGAAGGATGTGTCATCTCTAAGGCTAAAGGATAATGAAAAGATACCCTTTTCCTCCTTTTCACCTAATTGAAGTGGTGTCCGTATTAAGGGATGGTCCATCAAGGGACCTTTTCTTCTCTCTCTCTCCTCTAGGGCATTAATGTCTTAATTCCATTAGCTTGTCTCTTTCTTTCTCTCACTAGCTGAGTTTAGCGACAGCAGTACACGTCCCTTTTGGAGTAAAACTTCATGTGCGCTTTTAGTAAAGGGGTCTTAGGCCTTTCCATTCCATTTCCTCAACTTTAGAAAGAATAAAGAAAAGCAACATAATGAAGTGAAACATTTAGGGAAAATCTCTCTTCACCGTGAACCCTACGCAAAAAGCCGCACTTTCTCTAAGATGATGCATGGCTAGGTTAGAAATCCATGCCCTACTTTAATCACAAAAAGAGCCTCTTTAGTCTTCAAGTCTAATGCTGTCTTGCACTAAAGTACATTCCCCTTTTGCTTTCCCATGAAACTCTTAAATAAGAGTAATAACCGGAGCGATAAAACCCAAAAAGAAAAGTCGAAGTCCCTTGGAGTTTTCCCCGGGGTTACTAAAAAGTTAATTGTCCTCACATCATGCAAATAATATAATAATATTATACCCTATGTCCTTTAATAGTCCATTTTCAACCCATACCTTTGTCAAACTCTAAGGTAAGCAACCCCTCATCCTAACCTAAATATATATAATGAACTTCTTGTATAACTCCACATTCATTGATCCTATACAAATTACTTGCATGACTTGGAAAACCAGCTCTACAATAAGGAACGCGCGAGAAAGAAGCTAAAGATATATACGAGTTAGGTTTGCTAATCTGCTAATTAAGGATAAGTTTTGTGAAGGACTCAACAAGCAATCGACTATTCGGTTTCATTTCCTAAAGTTTGTTTTGAAATAAGGTTGTCGCCATTGAGCTAACGGAGCATAGTGGCGTATAGTGCCTAGTGAAAGTTACATGTAACTAACATTTTCCTAGGTAAACTGCCTAATATATATAAATTATATACATAGCATTAACCTAATGCTTTCACTATTCTTGAATCTCACTATTTAAAGACTTTATGTAATCATGTGTGACATAAGTGAAAGCTGCCGACCTGCACTGCTGCACCATGATCTTTTTTATTCCACACTTAGAGAGTTGACCGATGCAACCAAAATTTTCCACCATGATTTTTGAATGAGAAATAGAATAAATCTTCCCTCTTTTTTCCCGTCTTCCAACCGAAAGATTAAGGGAAACTACCAAAAACATGCCTGAATTCTCACAAATGACAAAAAGCATACATATATTTTCAAACCATATGCATCGACTTGAGGTCGTGATGCCACGGTTAACCTCAGATCAAGGCCTCAAGGGCGATGGAGCTCCTGTAGCTGTGATACAGACACGGAATCACGGAGGGCAATCGAGAACGACGGACTCCTAGGGTCCAGTGGCTTGGCAACGGCGTGGAGGGGGCCGAATTACCAGTCAGAGACATTGGTAGTGGCCGGCGGCTAAGCAAGTTTAGATCTTGTGCCGTGTCGATTACGTTTTGGATGCGGGCAGGTTTTGGAAGATAGAAAGTGTTTTTTTGAAAAGTGAAATGGTAATCTTGTAAATAAATGTATAATTTTGCTGAGTTGGAGTATGTAACCTGTAGTTTTAAAAATAGATCTATGCTTTTTGGTCATTAGATAAAAAGCCAAGCATGTTTTTAGTATTTTCACTAAGATTAATCAATATAACATTACTATTACCTCTAAGATTATCAACTCAACAATCCTTGCATTTTTTGCTTATAATGCTCAGTGACTATCAGCTGTACCAACCACATTACTCTAATTCTCATCTAAACACTTCAGATCACGAAATGTGATGCACCCCCTACATATCTTGAATTTGCACATCTCAGGCATCGGATACAACATCATTACTAAATCTCAATACTCGATTAATTAAAAAGGGAAATACTAGAGACTACTATGTTGACGACACTTAATTAAGCATTCTTAAAATAGATTCGGTCCGATTGGACAAGTACCCATTTGTGCTTTGAAAATCATCAGCTAATCTTACCCGGTTAGCTAATCGGTACTTCAAGATAATCGATAGGATAATCTTTTAATTAAAAATATCATCACCACTGTAATGTGAAATATAAATTTCTCTCACTCTCTCTCTCTCTCCCCTATGAATTCATGACTCAACGACCTCCATCCCCTGCATCTGCTCCAACTTCCAACTGACCAAGTCTGCCAGAGCCACGGTCTTTACCATCTGCTCCCACAAACGGCCCTCACCATCCACTCTCGACCCTTCACGATCCCACACTCCCAAGAGGGCCAGTCATGTGAATTCACACACACCATAAGCTCCAATCTTCTTCCAACAGATGATAGCCAAATTCTCTCTTAGCCAGTCTCTCTCTCTCTCCCCCATGATGAGATAGAGTCTCTCTCTCTCTCTCGGATACCTCTCGAGTCACGGCTTCAAGAAACCCAGTTGCTTCGTTTCTGCCCTGAACACAGAGACCCAGAAAGCCAAAAATGGTCCTTTTGCTCCGAGGCCACTGAATTCTTGCAAAAATGGTGGAAGAAGAGACGACCCACGAGCTGAAACCAAGAGGGAGCGGCCTCAAACGCGCCGTCGAGCGCTTGCCCTTGCTGATTTCTCTGTCCCACTCCGTCAAAGTCTTCTCCGTGAAATGGCAGCTCATAAGGAACAAGCTAGAGGAGTTGAATTCCGGGTTGGTCTCGATCGAAGACGCCGGCTCCGCGCGGAACCCGGCGGTCTCGGGCCTGGTACGCGCGCTGATGGTCACGCTGAGCGAAAGCGGCGATCTTGCCAAGAGGTGTGTCGATCTTTCGTACAGTGGGAAGCTCCTGATGCAGAGTGATTTGGACATAGTCTTGGCCAAGTTCGATCGGTATGTGAAGAATCTTTCGGAGATATATTCGACAGGTATTTTGACTCCTGTGAACGCCATTGTTGTGTCTAGGCCTGGTCTTGGTGCTTGTAAGGATGATATGAGGTTTTACGTTAGGGATTTGTTGACAAGAATGAAAATTGGTGACACTGCGATGAAGAAGCAGGCTTTGGTCAGTTTGTATGAAGTGATGAATGAGGATGACAAGTATGTGAGGATAGCTGTGGAGGTTGGTGGCATTGTGAATGCGTTGGTGGGTTTTCTTGATTTCTCCGAGGTGGCAGAGATTCAAGAAGAGGCTGTGAAGGCGGTTTCGGCAATGGCCAGGTTCGATTGGTGTAAGGGGGTGTTGGTTGGTGCAGGGATAATTTGGCCGCTGATTAGGGTTTTGGAATGCGGGAGTGAAAAGGGCAAGGAAGGTTCTGCAAGGTGTTTGATGAAATTTACGGAAAATGCGGATAATGCGTGGTCTTTGTCTGCTCATGGCGGAGTCACTGCTTTGCTCAAAGTATGTGCTAATGGCAATTCGAAAGCAGAGTTGATTTGTCTTGCTTGTGGGGTGTTGAGAAATCTTGTCCCTGTCGAGGAAATTAAGAGGTTCATGGTTGAAGAAGGTGCGGTGTCGACGTTCATCAAGCTTTCCCAATTGAAGGTTGACAATGTGCAGATAAGTTCGATCGAGTTCCTTCAGAGCATAGCGTCCGAAGATGATTCGATCAGGCAAATGGTCATAAGAGAAGGAGGAATTCGTGTGCTAGTACGCATTTTGGATCCTACATTGCCGATATCATCCAAAACTAGAGAGGTATCTCTTCAAGCCATCGAGAAGTTATGCTTCTCCTTGCCAAGTTGTATCAACATGTTGGTGAGTTATGGATTCATTGAGCTTTTGCTTGATTTCCTTCGCAACGGCGAGGCTTCAGTCCAAGAATTAGCTCTGAAAGTGGCAGCCAAGTTATGTGCCACTTCGGAGGAGGCAAAAAGGGCACTGGGGGATGCAGGGTTCTTGCCCGAGTTTGTTAGGTTTCTCGATGCAAAATCATTTGAAGTTCGCGAGACGGCGGCAGAAGCGCTCTCAGCGATGGTTCTAGTCCCGAAAAACCGGAAGAGATTCGTGCAGGAGGACCGCAACATTGGATTACTGATGCGTCTCCTCGAGCCAGAGGAGGTAAATTCTGGTTACAAGAAGTTCTTGTTTTCCACATTGATGGCGTTAACGAGTTGCCACAGCACAAGGAAAAAGATTGTGAATTCCGGGCATCTGAAAACCTTGGAAAAGCTCGCGGAAGCCGAAGTTTCAGACGCCAAACGGCTTGTCCGGAAGCTATCCACTAACCGATTCAGAAGTATGTTGAGTGGAGTATGGCATTCTTAAAAAGCAACCTTCTATTTTTTAAATCAAATTCAGTGTACATGTACATCTAAAGTGTTTCCCAGGAAGGTCTTCTTTAACTTGTTTTGCAACAATGTCTCTTCCTCTTTGGTTTCTGCCCTTTTCCCTTTTTGCAGAAAGAGATTTTAGAACAGCTTTTTTTTGTTGGTTTAGATTGTAATCAATCAAATAGTACATGTCCTGTAATAAAGCTGCTATATTGAATGTTGCTTCCGAGATACTAACCTGGCATTGCGTTGTTGGATTCAGTTCCGATTTGTCCTTTTCTTTCCTCCTCTTTTGAGCAAATAAGAACAAGAATGTATTAAATAGTGGCGCGGCAATTAATTAAAGATAACTGTGAAGGAGGTTCAGAGCACATGTTTTGTAGGCATGTAGAACAGAGCACATGGGAAAGGCATGAATCTCTGTCATAGGCATGTGAAGAGTAGGCATCAAGGTTTTGTCTTTCTACCATATGATGAACCAAGAAGGACGGTGACTCGTGAAGGTTCCTCTTGTACAAGGCTTGTCTTTTGCGTCTTGCCTTTGTCTCCTTGCCTGCAATGACGGTGTTATCATTTTGGAAGTTGTTATTTACGTGTAAATTTGTATATTTATATTCCTGGATTTTTAGAGAGGCCCGTGTCTCAACCATCCATTTCAACATCGAGACTATCCATGCCGGGATGGTACTATTCGGAAAGCAAAAGAAGGAAGCCTGAAAAGGGAGACCAATAGCTGTTTCGGTTGTCTTCTATGTAGTTGCGCAACCTTCTAACTTATTGTTGCGTTGTAAGGACACAAGATTTCTCACCATTAAAGATGGGATTTCGAGAGATAGCGGAAACTGAACGCGAATGCAGTGGTCCTAACGCTGGTAGGGTTATGTGGACACGACGAGGGAACAGCCAACTCGCAGATAGTAGTGTGGACCATGAATACTTCCATTCTTGACAGGTCGGGGGTGCAATACGAAGATGGGATGAAACCCTTCACATCGAGACTTGATGCCTTCTATGATTAACGATCGAGATTGGACGTTTTGCCAGGTAATTTCACCGATCACAAGATTCGACCAAATTGTGCCTCCTATTGATGCTAGGAAGTCATGCCGGCATTATAGGATCAACTGAACTCTTCATGGCTGTGCCTCCTATGCACTGGACTGTGTGGAACATCTGGTGCACTGTTCCTGGCACCAGATGCTATCCAGAAAATCAAAGTTCTTGCAAAGGAGAGATACCATTAAATCTGCATCATGGGTCGATACAGTTGTGAAGCGTTTCGCCCCAGAACTGCATTCATAAATGAGGTGGGTCTATGTGTTACTGCTGGCGTTTTGTCCACTCATGATGTGAGGAAGCTTTATTTATGGATATTATTGTTATCTCATCTTCTGTTTGTGTTTGTCCATTTATTGGCCAACACTATTATTCTCTCTCTTCAGTTTCACATGTTCTTGCATGCTTTCAGCTTTTTTATCATTTCAGGCCCTTAATACTATACTCGCCCAAAGTCTTGTTTTGTCCCATCGAATCATTTTTTGTCAGACATTTAGCTAAGCACCAACTCTCACTGCCATTATCTGTCAAGAACAAAGGATAATGCAGAACAAACACCACATGGATTTTGACAGCATTCAATTGAGAGCACCACAGCTAATCTCATCCGTTCACGACGTCTGTAAGGTTAGTGGGCCAATGTTTACATTACTAAATTAACCTTAGAGTGAAAATAAGTGAGCGATACGACCTGAAAAGTTATTTCACGAAATTTTGATGGACAAATTGGATGGACAAAAGTCGTCGTGAATGCTTTTAATTAAAAAGCAAAGGGTTGGATCCACATAACCTAATTAATTAAGCAGTTGAATGTGCTTTACGCTAATAAATTAGTCTAACATTTAGAAATAGCTCTTATGTAGCATGGTGTGAATTTCTTTGATCTATTTGATGGATATTAGGATGATGACAATGGATTTGGACCAGCAAGCAGAAATTGCACGAGTCAAAGGATGGCCTTCCATTTCGATCTTTTTGGGGCCATTCGTTTCAAATTTTCCATCTTGATCGCATCAAATTTGGGCCCATGTGTTTCTGCTTTGATAATTCACAAATGGGGCCTTTTGAATATAGTTGATTCCCACGATTATATGGGCCTTCAACCCCCAATCTTCACCTACATTTCATCCTCAAATTACACTTTTTAATATAAGTTTTGGGGTTTAATTGCAATTCTAGAAAAAATTTTACGACTTAATTGAATCGATTGAAAGGTTTAAGACGCGATTGCACTTTCCGGTAAAATTGTAGGATTTGATTGAACTAATTGAAAGTTTTAGGATTAAATTACATTTTGTACAATAGGTTTAAAGCCTATGGAGAGTTTCCCAGATGTTTCTACTGACATTAGCTTTGATCCTGTCTCAAAGAGGCATGTCAAAGGAGCTAGTCGGACTTGCACAGATCCCCAACGTAGTTTCGAACTTCTTGGCCTTTTGTTTTGTTTTACAAAAGTTGGCAAGTTCAACATGATGAGTGAGCTCTTTTAGCCTTGGTCTAACGGTTAGGTCACAGATGAATTGCGTAACTATAGCTCATAACAATGATTTTATGGTGACATCTAGAAAGGATAGTTTGGGTAATCCCATTTCTCCTACCTCTTTCAGAGCATAAAAAGAAGGGTGAAAGAGGAGCATAAGGAATCAAATTCCAAATATCCACTCTGTTACGATATTGAAATTGAAAATGCTGCCTCTGAAAGTTTAAGTTATGTGAAAACGGCACAAAGTATATCTCTTTTTGATCAGGACGAACATGATAAAGAGAAAGCATTTTGAGAAGATAAAAGATATATAAATATTATGAAATACCAAAACCATGCTCACAACCATAAGAGTAAAAAGAAAGTGAGATGGCACTTGAAGATACGAAATTTAATATGAGATTAGCTCAACATTTCTTCTCGGGAAAGTAATCCCAATTCCCTCCGTTAATTTGAATACATAACTAACAATTTTGTTACTTTAATCTTGATATAAACATGACAAGATTCACTACAAGTCAAAGTCACATCGATTGAACCACTTGTTCCCCCTAGAAAAGACTTCAGTCTTTGGAGTCTTACTGGCTCCGTTCGTTTGGCGGAAAATATTCTCCTTTTGGAAAATATT